GCTCGTTACAGTCTGTCAGCGTGTGATTCTTCTTTCCACAGAAACATAGCTTCATGAGGCGATCAATGCACGGTCCCTGCCTGCACCGCAGCCAGCTTGTTGAGAGGCAAACAGCAGCTGTTTCTCTGCCTCGCTTTGCATATTCAACACATGAGAGATCTCTGCACTCTTCACGCAGGACAAACCATCTGAGAGGGAAACAGCTCACACTTTCTAACACATCTCTCTTAAACAGAAATGAACTGCATAGTTTCCCCGTACGGTTTCATTCATCAAATGCAGTAATTAATGCTTTAGTCCTGAAGAAAAATCTGCAGGACTTTGATCCAGAACTCCAAGCCTCACTGACGGGCGGTTGGTTCACTTTAGATCCATCCAGCAGAGCTCGGCTCAAAACACAACATCTGTTTGCAAAATAATTCTTAGTCCTTCATCAGTTTAGGCACATCTGCTTTATTGCCGCTAACATAGTAACGTAGTTAGCTTCAATCTTTGATCTCACTTCTTTATAAGGTCACCCGTCTGTTCCTGCAGGGGGCGCTGGAGTCCCATCGATGGCAGTCTCCATGCTGGAAATGCTGTCTCAGTCTAACTTTCAGTCAACCTAACAACAGGCTGAGAGCTGGAGCTGAGGCGGGTTTTAAACCTCCTGACAAACCGTTACACCGCGCCCACCTGTCAATCAGGTCAGCTACACGCCTTATTGTGAATAACTCTTATCCTTCATCAAAACTGATGAGTCATCAAAACATTACCCCCCCCCCCCCCCCCGTACAGTGTGTGTCTGTAAACATTAATCTCTGCTTTAAAAACAGGCTCTTTAGAATGGGTGTGTATGTGACTTCCTGTGCTTCTGCAGCCAGCCTCTAGTGGACACTCCAGGAACTGCAGGATTTTAACACTTCAGCATCGGCTTCATATTTAACATCGAGGTTGCTGCTTGGTTTACACTGACTCTAACCAACAAGACCACAGCAGACCCACTGCGGCCTCTTTGGTCCGAGTATGACTGACTTCAGGGCACGGGTACAGAGAGACCAGGATCAGGACTCAGCACTCTGCACTTTACTGAACCTGCTACTTGACGCCCTTTACAATCCTGTCATGTTTTCTTGCTGTTAGTAATAGTCCTCTAGGGGCAATAAAGGTTTCAATCATTCATTCAAAAGTGTCATTATTTAATCAGAGACCCGGAGAAGAGGCGCGGAGAGAGACAAACGTGTTAGATACATCCCTTCTTCTGGAGAGAGATATCAATAACCGTTTCAATATCGCTGGGACTCTAAATGAAGACTGCATGTTGTTCTCTTCTTCTGTTGTCTGCAGCTCCGCCCTGCAGGTGAAGCTCCTGATCACCTGTCCTCCGTGCACATGGCCTCACAGCTGAGTTAAGAGGGAGGGAGGTGATGGAGATGGGACTGCTGCGTGACGCCTCTCAGTCTGGGATTGTTGATTTAGTCCTTTGTTAAATATTGAGTTATTTTTGTGTCTCATTAAAATCCCTTCGTTTTGTGGGTTGATGTGAACCCCATAGGACCTCATGGTGGGGCGTAATAGCCTGGTATTGGGTAAACCTGCAGGCAAACTGACTGATGGAGAGTCTTTGTGCAATTCAGTCTCTCTCTCTCTCTCTCTCTCTCTCTCTCTCTCTCTCTCTCTAAAAAGGACTGAAGATCTGAAGTTTATGGCAAACTTTAGTATTTTTCCAACACCATCAATCATGAAATAACAGATTACAATAAATAAAAACATGTGGTATCAAAAAGAATCAAAGTATCGCACATTTTGACAACCGAAATCCCTGATCAACAGATCAATATGTGACATATCAGAATCACATTACTGATTAAACGCTGTTTAAAAAGAGACAACACGGAGCATGCTCAGATCCTCTCAAATCTTCAGCATCTGTGCAAAAAATGTAATCTATGTTCAGAAGAAAATGGGTCATAGATGTTCAACAATATATCTAAAGAATGAGGAGAAAAACACACAATGATCTGCAGAAAACAAAAACATCTTCACCTGAACGTGAAGCAATTCCAACTTTACATCAAACCCTGAATTAGACTTTTGAACACCACTGCTCCACCTGAACCAACTTCCACTCCAACAGTCCTCCTTCAGACCGTCAGCAGTCACCTGCGCACACCAACACCTCACCTTCATAATTCATCTCAAGGCAAACATTCATCCCCACAGAGCAGCACAACCAGCAGAACCAGCGGGGCTCCGCAGGTCAGCTCCCCGGCTCTCACTCCTCTGTCCCGGCTTCACTCACCTGCATTCAGCCGCTGAAAGCTCCGAGGAGAAGAGACGCCGAGAAGATCCGCTCCGTGTGTGCGTGTGTCTCCCTCTGCCTCCCTCTGCTGCTCACACAACCTGCGTAGTGTGTAAAGTTACAAACAATGAGCTGCACAACCGGAAATACCCTTCAGAATAAAAGCAAAACTTTGTAGCGTGTTTATCAGAACATAATCCTGCAGAATCTGTCTGACAGAGACCCTGTTTATGATGTCAGGAGTGTTCTCCTTTCTGTTTGTAGTCGGAGTAGTATCTTACACTGAGGCTTTAACTAGATTCTGGAGGCAAAAGTCCATATGGAGAGGAAAAGTGAGGAAACATCGGCCGTAGTTACATCCTGGAAACATCGTGAGTCATCTGGTAACATTTTACATTTAATTATTCTCCCAGTTTAAGATTGAAAACAAACATCAGCCTCCAACTTTATCTTGTTGTTCTAGTTTCTACTCGGACTGTAAACAAAGGCAACACACACGGGAAAAATCTTGACCGGAAGTTGTGTTGTAGTGTATCAAGGTGAGAAATGCAACCAGAACGTTCTTTTTGTTGTTATTTATAATTACACGCAATCACCTGTAAATTATATGTGAGATGAGAGGACTCAGTGATGATGTACCTGTGTTGTAGTTTACCGCCTCTACGTCCTGTTTTCTTCTTCTATGGTTGCTTGTCTCCCTGCATCACAGCAGAGGGTACACCACAAAGGTTTACGTTTTATGTAGGCCAAATGAGTCAAGTTTCAGAAACTACTTACAAGTACCTCTCACCAAATGCTTTCACAATGACATTTCAGTGCACTATGTATAAAAACACATTTTAATAGCCTATTAGGAAAAAGCCACCATGTTGTTTCCGGTTTGGCCAAAATAGCCTTTCCTGACAATCAGAATCCAGAAGAATCCAGAATATGAAATGGCAGATCGTGCAGCTCGCATTGAATATTGTTCACTGAAGTTCAACTCTGGTCCAACCCCTTTCTCTCTTGTCTGTTACTGCTCACGAGCATCCCATAATCCTTTGCCCTACTCGCGCTTCGCATCCGATACTAAGTGAATGGTCATTAGACCTCCCAGTGTCTTTAACTCACTGCTCATGTATTTATAGGATTTAAATATCCTGAGTAAGTAGATATTTAATCGTAACATCAATAAAAAGTTAAGCTAGCTCATGTGCAGCGTTGAGCTAGCTTCATGTAAAATGAAGTGAGCTAAGCTAACAGTTACTTTAGGCGACATCAACTTAAGACGGCCATACTAGATGATTTAAGGCCCGATTTGGTGATGATGATGTATACTGCATATATATATTTATTTCAGACTCTGAAGCTGCAGCCACACGCTCCTGGAATCAATCAATCATTATTTGTAGAGCGACAATTCATAACAACAACAACTGTATGAGAGCCAAAAATAATTTTGTATTCAAAGATGTCCTAAAAACAGACAGTTACCCCTCAGTGTCTTGGTGTTCTAGTTCAGCACCATGGACAGCGGTCAGTCCAAAATCAGCTCTGCACTCATTCAGCAGCCTGAAGCTGAGTTGAAACAACTGGCTCTTTGCTTCTCTCTCTTTTCCAGAAACAAAAAGTGAATAATGATCATTTCAGCTGCAGCTTCATATCGTTCTGTCTTCTGCAACAGCGTTCAGGATCCAGAAACAACTTCAGAGTGTTAACAGAGAGGGATCACCTGGATGTGTGTACCTGTGTGTGTGTGTGTGTGTGTACCTGTTATAAGTCAGCTAAACGGTCTCTACTAACATCTACACAAGGAAGGGGATTAAAGACTCTGTGTGTGTGTGTGTGTGTGTGTGTGTGTGTGTGTGTGGTTGTTTATTAAAACAGCAGCAGTCTATATTTAGAGGAACAATAACTGTAACATGACCTTATGTACGTGAGGGACCATCTGTTAATCATTTCCATAAACACACACAGAGGTCACGTCCTCTTCCTGCAAACGTGACGAGTATAATAATGAGGGGTACAGCGATGCATCGGCAGATATCGACCCCCCCAGTAACGGACAATATTGACCCCGCTGTCAGACATCGGCAAAGGATGTGGCACGAGCCGATGTTTATTTGTTGAGTCATATTCATTTGATGCTGACCTCACCTGACGACTGATTGAGAGAAGGTGGTAAGATTTGAGTGGTAAGATTTGGTGGTAAGATTTGAGTTTAGCCTTTAGTATTTGTTATCACAGGAGGAAATGGATTTAAATGTATTGATGTTTGTCCTTTTAGGGCTTCCATAGAAAATCCTCTAAAAGTATTTATTCTGACTGTGCAGCTGTTTGTTCTTCCTTCCTAACATGTAGTAACCTTTGTTCCTAATATAGTGACATATGGAGTCTATAAACTGAACGTGTGAGGTGTTCACCGCTCTTCTTTAATAATGCTGCTACAAGGTATCAGGCGGGCCAGGGAACACCTTCACACGTGACCCCGTTGGTACAGCGAGCTCCACTGGCGAGCTGCCTGATTACTCAGTAGGCCGTCTGAAAGCAATTTAACGCTTGAATGATTCTCACCAGACTGCTGTGGCCTAAAACACCACACTCACATTCAGAGTCCCACAAAGAGAGGAACACGAGAGGCGAGCATGTTGTTGTAACCTTGAAGGATGGAGACGTTCATGTTTGAATCATTTGTACTTTATGTTCTACCTGAACCACTGCACAGACTCCGCCCCCACAGCAGATCCTGTACCTGCAGTTATCCAGGGGTTCAGGTGTTTATGCTCCTGACACATACTGTACAGGAGTTTCTCTTTTTGATGGACTCAGTCGAAATTAAAAAAATTAAAAAGTGTTGAAGGAGTAAAATGTTGTTGACCTTAAAGGTCACATATTTAAAATCCTCTTCCCCATATTCCTTTAACTCTAACATGTGTCTCTAGTCTGTCTACAAACCCCCCAATGATGAGAAAAGTCCATCCTCTCCGTCTTCTGCCTGCTCCACTTTTCAGAAAATGTGTGCTCAAACAGGCTGTTTGGAGATTTTCCCTTCATGACATCACAAAGGGCAGTAGCCCCTCCCCCAGGTGGGTGACACTCCCACAGCTACATGTTTGTTCTGCCCTCTGAGTCTGCCTTCTCACCGTAAACAATAGGACATGGAGAGAGAAAGCCCGAGCACACCCGAGCACTTTCAGAGAGGGGGCGTGGTCAGACACAGCAAGAAACTTCACACACATGTTTTGAAGAGCTCTGAGACTTATTTACACTGAAGAGGAGGAGGAGGATATGTGACCTTTAAAGCCTCATGAGCGCTAAACACTGAAGGTTTACTTTGAGTAAAATGTAATGTAGATTTTTGTACAATAACGCAGCTTAAACCAGAGTGAAGAGTTTGAACTGACAGAATCAGAGTCCAAGCTGACTTACAAACTCTCTGTCCTCTGAAATTCAGACTGTTTACCTGCATGTCAGATTATCATGGCCCTGTACTATGAAGGATACAGAAATGAACATATTTATCAAATGAATGAATCGAGAAACATCACAGTTCAAAACATAGAGTCTTCGTGTAGACCGACCTGTAAAACCCGTCGGTGACTCGTCAGAGATTTGCTCTCGGCTGCAGAAACACATTAAACAGACGCTGAGGTGACATTGCTGGAGAGAACGATCCTGTGCCAGGTTTAATTTGTGTAAATGTACCGAGGTGTGTGTGTGTGTTGTGCATGTGTCCATGTGTGCGTGTGTGTGTGGTGTGCATGTGTCCATGTGTGTGTGTGTTTTCTGCATGTGTGTGTGTGTGTGTTTGTGTTTTGCATTTGTGTGTGTGTTTGTTTGTGTGTGTGTCTGTGTTTGTGTGTGTGTGTGTGTGTGTGATTGTGTTTGCATGTGTGTGTCTGTGTGTTGTGTGTGTGTGTGTGTGTGTGTGTGTGTGTGTGTGTGTGTGTGTGTGTGTGTGTGTGTGTGTGTGATTGTGTTTGCATGTGTGTGTCTGTGTGTCTGTGTGTCTGTGTGTTTGTTTGTGTGTGTGTTTGTGTTTTGCATGTGTGTGGGTGTGTGTGTGTGTCTTTGTGTGTGTGTGTGTGTGGTAGAGTCGGTCATATCTCAACTGGAGCAGTAACCCCCCCCCCAACAGATAAACCTACAGAGGGGACACTGACGTGAGATTAAACCACAGAGTCATGTTTGGTTTCCTTGCCTTCAACGTTTTAAGACGATTTGTGTTTGTAAAGATCAGAAACCGCCCTCTGCCCGTCAGACATAAAGAAATGTTGGTGTGTACATTCTTCTAAAGGTGGTCATGTTTGTTTCCTAACACCTGAGTATCCTGCATTCCCCTTCTTTATTTGATTTAATGATTAAATATTGAGTCAGTACGATCAAGAAGTACATTCTGTTCGTCCTCACTCAGACGTCATGCAAATAAATGATTTGTTTGTGTCTTTGCATGGATTGCAAATTAAATCAGAGGTGCATGAAAACAAACCGCTCCAAGTGTTTGAGGTTAATTTAAAGCTGCAGTGAACCTGACAGCCTTCACAGCGTCTCACATCACAGGTAAGACATCACTCCTCTCAAACAAACTGCTTTTATTTGAACAAGTTTTAAAACTGTCTCTACTCATGTTTAACCAGGGGAATAACTCTGTTAGTCATAGAGGATTACTGTTTGCGTTTGGAGCAACGTTCTCTTTCTTGAACTTATTTTCAAAGTTATGGAACAAAGTGTTCAGTCCATAATATCGTACTTCTCTAAATCAAGATTTATTCTTCTCCCTGCTCCTTTCCGTACATGGGATAAATTGTGAATTGATTTTTCCTTTTTCTTTTTCTGTTGTGTGTTTTGACATGTACGGAACAAATAAAAAAAAATAATTAAATCGTCTCTATGGGATGTCCATGGGTTCTTACACAGAAGATCTTGAAGGAAGTATTCTCTGTTTTGAGATCAAATGGTTTGTCGTTCTCTGAGATCGACTCACCACGGGGACTTTTTTCTGTCTGCCTCCTCTGAAGCAAAGCCCCGAGCCTCTGTCTGCCTCGAGCCCCACCATACTCAAGAGGTTCCTCTGAACCGGGTTCTAGGAACTAAAGTAGTTCAAAATTCCTGCGGTGCAGAATCAGTAAAGACACCTCGTCATACCTCTGGAATCTTTGATTTTCACAGCATGTGGAGCGACTCGTTTCTAAGTCTGTCCATCCATCACCATCTTTGATTTCTCCCACAGCTGGAAGATCCAACATCAAAGGGAGAAGCAGAATTGTCTCCATGGAGGGGACAACTTGTCTTTTTCTTCTCCTGTCAGGTGAGTGACTCCCTTTAAAATAAAGTGTTTTTAGTTACATGTTTATTGTTAATGAGGAGTTAACTGTTAGCTGTTATGTTGATGTTTATGCCCCTCTGACGTTTGGGGGGGGGGCATAGTGACCCCCCCCCCCCCCCCCCCCCCCATACTGTCCTCAGAGGCGTTACAGAGGAGAAAGGGGATCAGCTGAGTCAGTGGGGGAGAACAGCGCTGTGTGTGTGTGTGTGTGTGTGTGTCCCAGACTTCACAGACTGGGACACCATGTCTGTCTTAAGGCGTGATGGGGGCGGAGCTTTGCCAAAGACTCTGAAAAGAATCTGTGTTTATTCATTTTGTACCTTAAATCTTCTTTAGAGGGCGACTAAATCTAAATGTTGTTATTGTCACAGGTCTGTTTTTCCTTCCCGTCTGTTTCCCTCGTCGCTACATCCTCATTAGAGAGGCATTAACCTGGACTGAAGCTCAGAGATACTGCAGAGAGAAGTTCACAGACCTGGCCTCTGTGAGCAGCGAGCAGGAGTCAGAGCAGCTGCGGGAGGCTACAGAGGAACATGATGAGGATCATCTGTGGATCGGACTGTACGATGACATCGACAGCTGGAGGTGGTCCCTGGAGGAGGAGGGATACTACGGAGAAGGAGAGGCCGAGTTCAGGAAGTGGCATAGCAAAGCCTACAATAACATCCATGGTACACAGACCTGTGTCCTGATTTCTCAAGATGGGACATGGAATGATTTAATTTGCTCCGCAAGTTACCAGTTTGTCTGCTACAGTGGTAAGAACTTACAGATGACTTTATGAAAGGGTGTGAGAGTGTCTTTGTTTTCAGTCCTGTTCTAATTACAGACCATTCTGCGCCCGTTTGCCCCCTTTAACCATCGGGAGGGCGTGGCCAGACTCAAGGCCTACCATATCTGATTTTCTCTAGTTTGTGTCAATAAGATTATTTCACTGCTCCTGATCGAGTCAGACTACCTCTGACTGAGGTAGTCAGCCTCTGACTCAACAGCCAATGAGAGCAAGCAGCCTGAGAAGCATCACCAACAGTCTCCATGTTTTTAAATCGGTTAAGATTTAACATTGTCTGGTGTGTGGCCAGCTTCAGCTGATTCCAAGAGACTCGGTTTTAAGGAAATTTTGAGGAGTTTTCAGAAGGTCTCAGACTTCAGGTGAAGGGCTGGATCTTTTTAGAAACAGAGGAGATGCATCTTCCACCATTCAGAACTGGATTACTTTAGTTCATACGACGGGCTGAAATCAAGAGAGGTTCAGGTTCTAACTGGGGTTTGATGACAGAGGTTACTGGGTCGCTTTCAGAGCAAATTCTTTCAGATGGTTAATAGTTCATATACTTCATGTTCCTCCACTCACACTGTTCATTTGTGCTGAAACAGACTCCTCCTCCAGCTTCATCTTAGTGACTGAGCCAAAGACCTGGACGGAGGCTCAGAGATACTGCCGAGAGCACTACACTGACCTGGCCAGTGTGAGGAACCAATCAGAGAACGACCAGATCAAGGGGCTTTTGAAGAACAGGTACACCTGGATCGGCCTCCACAGAGACTCATGGGGGTGGTCTGATGGGAGACCCTATTCCCTCAGGAAATGGGCCACTGGTAGACCAAAAAGTGGCTTCTGGACTTCCTGTACTGTTTTACATAAAGGTCTATGGGAAGACATGAACTGTGACGCTGAACATTACTTTGTGTGCCAAGGTGGTGAGTTTAAAACACACATGACTTCTCCTGAGTAGGACACGCCCACTTTTGGTCCAGGTTGAAATGTTTTCTCCTCTCACAGACCCGGTGAAGAAACGTGTGCTGAGGGTGCAAGTGACTCGCAAAGACTCGACTGTGAACCTGGAGGAAGCAGCTGCAGCCCTCCTGTGGCAGGTAGGAGAGAGATCGACCCATCCATTATTTACGGGGGGGGGGAGGAGCCAATCCCAGCTGTCATTGAAAGAGAGAGGCGGGGTTACACCCTGGACTGTTCACCAGCTAATCACCCACTTTCTTGGTTGTTTTTTTGTTGTTGTTGTTTTTCTCTTTTAAAAGTCTTTGAGGATTCAGTGCTACACATGTCCAATGTTTTATTATTATTATTATTTTTATTATTATTATTAAGATAACCTAAAAGAGAAGAAGACGCCTCCCATCGTTTACTGAACACATCTGTCTTGTGTCTTGCCCCCCCCCCCTCTCAGTTCAGAGAGAGGCTGAAGGAGCACGGCCTGAGAGAAGACGTGAAGCTGACATGGAGGAAGCAGCCGGATGGAAAGATCTTCAACCTGGAAAAAAGAGAGAAGAAGTAGAAGGAGGAGGAGGAGGAGCAGTTCATCTGTTCATGAATCGACTGCTGTGTTTTGTTGCTTTAGTTCGGGCTTGAGATACCCAGTATGTAGTTTTCGTACTTTTAGGGGGAGGTGCTGGAGCAACGGCTGTTATTCTTTGATTACTTTGATGGGGGGGGGGGGGGGGGGGGCTGGGGTGATACTCTAAACTTGTGTGGTGAACTTATATGTTTTCTGCCTCCATGTTTTGAACTTTGGTGAAAGAGGCGATAACAACACGTGTAGAAGTAGAAACTTTAATGTTTATCGCAAACGGAGCACTGAGGGAATGCTACTTTTAAAATCATGCTAGTTTATTAAAATAAGCGACCTGCCTTTCAGTAAACGTTTATCGAATCTTTGTTAATTCTGCAGAGTCTGCATTCTCTAAGTGTTTTTGTCATTTTGGTGAAATGTTTTTATTTGTGATCATAAAAGGAACCAGGGAGAGAAAATGCTCCAAACAGGAAATGAGGATCCCTTCTATCTACACATGCAGAATCCTGTACTGGATGAATCCCGTCCCAGAAACCTCTCTGTCTACAACATGCTCACATCGCAGTTTCTCAAGTGTGTACCCCCTAAACCCAGAGACCTGAGACCTGAGACCTGAAACCAGAGACCTGAGACCTGAGACTTGAGACCTGAAACCAGAGACCTGAGACCTGAGACATTAGACCTTAGACCAGAGACCTGAGACCTAAGGCCAGAGACCTGAGACCTGAGACCTGAGACATGAGACCAGAGACCAGAGACCTGAGACCAGATACCTGAGACCAGAAACCAGAGATCTGAGACCTGAGACCTGAGACCTGAGACCTGAGACATGAGACCAGAGACCTTAGGCCTGAGACCAGATACTTGAGATCTGAGACCTTAGACCTGAGATGAGAGACCAGAGACCAGAGACCTGAGACCTGAGACCTGAGACCTGAGACCTGAGACCTGAGACCAGAGACCAGAGACCAGAGACCTGAGACCTGAGACCTGAAAACAGAGACCAGAGACCTGAGACCTTAGACCTGAAAACAGAGACCAGAGACCTGAGACCAGAGACCAGAGACCTGAGACCTGAGACCTGAGACCTGAGACCTGAGACCTGAGACCTGAAATCAGAGACATGAGACCAGAGACCAGAGATCTGAGACCAGAGACCTGAGATCTGAAAACAGAGACCTGAGACCAGAGACCAGAGACCTGAGACCTGAGACCAGAGACATTAGACCTTAGATCTGAGACCTTAGACCTGAGACCAGAGACCAGAGACCAGAGACCAGAGACCAGAGACCTGAAAACAGAGACCAGAGACGTGAGACGTGAGACCTGAAAACAGAGACCTGAGACCAGAGACCAGAGACTAGAGACCAGAGACTAGAGACCAGAGACCAGATACATTAGACCTGAGACCAGAGACCTGAGACCTTAGACCTGAGACCTGAGACCTGAGACCTGAGACCTGAAAACAGAGACCAGAGACCTGAGACCTGAAAACAGAGACCTGAGACCAGAGACCAGAGACCAGAAACCAGATACATTAGACCTGAGACCAGAGACCTGAGACCTTAGACCTGAGACCTGAGACCTGAAAACAGAGACCTGAGACCAGAGACCAGAGACCAGAGACATTAGACCTGAGACCTGAGACCAGAGACCTGAGACCAGAGACCTGAGACCTTAGACCTGAGACCAGAGACCTGAACCCTTACGGACTTACAATCGACGTCACCTGGAAAGTGAGTGCAGGAGGTTGTGAGGGCTTGAAATGGTTAAATAGGGGACATCACTTTGTGGTTTCTCTATAACCATGACAATACGACGTCATGTGACATTAGGTATTTTTTATTTGACAAGTTTTACTCACAGCTTATAAAAAGTTCTTAATGTTCTCTGCGCTGTGGGATGAATAAAGGTTTCTCTGATCTGCCTCTCTCTCTTTTCCTTCACAGACTCGCTGTAGAGTTCTGAATTATTCGCCAAATAAACTTATTTGGTAGACTTTAAATAGAGCGTGGTTTCTCCTTCCTGCTTTTTCACCGTCTCTCCCTTTTTCCGTGTTATGGCGTTTGTTTACCTTGCCATTCTTGCGGGCTTCCCCGGGGGAATCTTATGTTTCACGTCTCAATGCTATGAACTCTGGGTAATTCCTTCACGCTGAAGTCTGCAGATATGCCCACTGACGGACAGCGTGCACCCTGCTGATGATCTTCAGTTCCAGTGGAAGCCGGCTCAACGTGTTCCATTTAAAGAGTTTTTTTATGAAGAGAGTTTCATGAACACTTTTATTCTGAACACTTCTCAGCTAAACGAGACTAGAGAAAAGAAGAATAACATACTGTACTCACTGCTTAACTGTGTTTCTAGATCACGCTCATTTCAGGTAAATTTACATGCAGTGTGAAGATACGAGCATAATAAAGATTGCTAGCATTAGCATGCTAACACAACATAGCAGCGCAAGTTGTTTTGGTTTCATGCTGGTGCTCAAGGGCGACATCTGCTGGATCAAAAAAATCGCATATAAAGCCTTTAAAATGAAGTAAGTTTTTGTGTTGCTGCAGTCTGAATCACTCACTGAAGACGTGTTGTTATGGCCTCTTTCACCAAAGTGAATGAAACCAAAGCTCAAAACATGGAGGCCGAAAACATATAAGGACGCCACACAAGTTTAGAGTATCACCCCGAGCTTTATTCAATTTAAACATGCTCCCCCCACCCCACACCCAAAAGTCATCAAAGAATAACTAAAAGGCCAAAGCGAACAAAAGACAGGAAGGCACCTTGCAGTGAGCCGTCACTCCAGCACCTCCCCCTAAAAGTACAAAAACTACATACTGGGTATCTCAAGCCCGAACTAAAGCAACAAAACACAGCAGTCGATTCAGGGACAGATTAACTGCTCCTCCTCTTCCTCCTTCTTCTTCTTCTCTCTTTTTTCCAGGTTGAAGATCTTTCCATCCGGCTGCTTCCTCCATGTCAGCTTCACGTCTTCTCTCAGGCCATGCTCCTTCAGCCTCTCTCTGAACTGAGAGAGAGAGGGAGGAGGGGGGAGAGGGAGACAGAGAGAGAGAGAGGGGGGGGAGAGAGAGAGAGAGAGAGGGGGAGAGAGAGAGAGAGAGAGGGAGAGAGAGCTCTTATTCCCACATTGTGAATAACTCTTATCCTTCATCAAATCAAAACTGATGAGTCATCAAAACATTCACCCCTCGTACAATGTGTGTCGATCGAGACATGAGCTAATAACACCTATTTGTTTTTTTGAACCAGGCTGTAAACATGTTAATCTCTGCTGTAAAAACAGGCTTTTTAGAATGGGTGTGTATGTGACTTCCTGTGCTTCTGCAGCCAGCCTCTAGTGGACACTCCAGGAACTGCAGGATTTTACACTTTGTTAACTCTTCAACACTGGAGGTTGTCCTGATTGATTTGTACATAATACATGCTCTTCGATGGGGCTTACATTTCTAAACTTGAATATATGTTTTCATCTTAATGCACAAAAGACTTCTGTTACCTGTAACAAGACGGATCTGCGGCCTCCTCCAGGTTCACAGTCGAGTCTTTTTTTAGGGTCACTTTCACCTCAGCACCCGCTGCGGCTTCACCGGCTTCTGTGAGAGGAGGAAAGCTGCTTTTTAAACTGGATCACAGTGGATCTGTGCAGGAGGTACTTTATTAAAAACATGTGGAATCTCACCAAAATGACACAAAAAGAAGTGTTTTTTTCACATCTATAGCGATGCAAAGCCCTTTGTGTAGAAGCACACAGGGAGGAACCACACGGTCAATCTGTTTCTTAATGTCCAACTCGTAAAGGAATAGGGGCTCCCATCAGACCACTTCCACGAGTCTCTGTTGAGGCCGATCCAGGTGTAACTGTTCTTCAAAAGCCCTTGATCTGGTCGTTCTCTGATTGGTTCCTCACACTGGCCAGGTCAGTGTAGCGCTCTCGGCAGTATCTCTGAGCCTCCGTCCAGGTCTTTGACTCATTCACTAAGATGAAGCTGGAGGAGGAGTCTGTTTCAGCACAAATGAACAGTGTGAGTGGAGGAACAGGACGAAGTATATGAACTATTAACCATATGTCACACATTAATGCTTATTTTGAGTCATTTTAGTTAGATGCAGCCGTAACACTCCCTGAGGCTGGAGCCCACCTCTTCCCCCTCTAACCAGTGCCAAGAAAGTGTACGATGGCCTGATGTTAGTGTACCCTGAGGATGCCACTCCTGCGTGTCACCACCTTTACCCCAACCCCCCCCCCAAACTACCCATTACTGCACACTTAGTCTGTAGTTAACACACATGGCAAAATGATGATAAATATATTCATATTTACCCTTAAAGCATGTAAACCATCTCTTTGTATCACAAGGAGCATCATTCCATAGGCCGCTGATATGCATCATTGCACAGTGTTCGACTCCCCTAAAGTTATTGGGTTCCAAGCCACCCCACTTCCTGAACTCGGCTTCTCCTTCTCCATAGTATCCCTCCTCCTCCAGGGACCACCTCCAGCTGTCGATGTCATCGTACAGTCCAATCCACAGATGATCCTCATCATGTTCCTCTGTAGCCTCCCGCAGCCGCTCTGACTCCTGCTCGCTGCTCACAGAGGCCAGGTCTATGAACTTCTCTCTGCAGTATCTCTGAGCTTCAGTCCAGTTTAATGCCTCTCTAACGAGGATGTAGCGACGAGGGAAACAGACAGGAAGGAAAAACAGACCTGTCATGAAAGAAAGGAGATCCCTCTCTTTACTTGATGATTTAACATTTAGTTTAGTTTCGCACGATGACTTTAAAACTCTTTATTTTAAACTGAAGATGACATGCCACTAACCTGATAAGAAAAGAAAAGTCAAAGTTCTCCCCTCCATGTGCTGCTTCCTTTTTCTATCTTCCAGCTGTGAGAGAAATAAAAAAAAACATGACTGACTTTGCTTTGTGTCCACACTCAGCCAACAGTGACTCTAGATGGCGCTGTTTCTGATGTGACTTACAGGACTCCGGTTGATATGAAAATATGTTAAGACCAAACTGTACCTACTATCTCCACGGTAACTTTCACTCAAAGACGATCAGTGTACGTGGTAACCCCTAACAAAGTCTTCCGTTAGAGTACTCAGTTTACTTTTTTTCTTGTGTCGAGTGACCTGATGCTGTAGTTCTGCAAATCAGGTAATCCATTAATAGTTACTTTTTCATAAAAGTAATCGTTACGGGAAGAAAAGCTGCAAGAAAAGAAATCCTGGAAGCGTCTACAGTTTCTGCTTCTCTTCCTCTGAGCAGCTCTCTGCACATGAGCAGAAGGTCGGCCTTCACATGTGTCAGCGTGCATGCGTAGCGAGCTAATTCAACAAGTAAGACGGTGGAGAGGGCAGCTTTTACTTTGTGGAAATATTCCCAATATTTTGACTTTTGTTAAATGTCATATTGCTTCTGTCGTTCCTGTTACTGGCCTGCAGAGTCACAGATGATGGACTATAAAGCCCTGAGCATACTCGCTTTTAACTTGGCATGACATCAGCCTTGCGTATCCTGCGGCGGTGTCGAGCGTTGGTTGTGTACTTCCTCAGAAATGAATGCTATGCGTCCCTGAGATGCAGTATGCATTTATCCATTAGGAGCAGTGTAGACTTGTGATGAGACCAGAAATTACGACATCGGAGACACCAGAGAGCCGCTACAGGAAGGGTGGAAAGTTTAGAAGAAAAGTGAACAGATCGAGTCCTAACCCTAACCCCAACTACCCGCACTATGAAGTGTCATTGCTGTTGCATAGCAACAAGCATGCATGCCAGATCATCTCTATTTTGGGGTTTTAACCGTATGATTTATGTGCTGCTCCCTCTAGAGGAATCCTCCAGTAACACACTTTGTACAAAGGCAAGGACGTCAACATTTACGTTCAGGACGCCGCCGGTTGTCTACACATACACTTGGTTCAAAAGCGACTTTATTTGAGCCCTAAGAGAGGCCGTGCAATGACAGTAGAGTCAATTCATTCAAAGACAGACAATCAGTCGGCTACCTGCCGTCTGGAGAATTTAACCGGCGTGGGTTAAGAGCCACAAACAGGCGTTAATGTTTGTTAACACGAGAGGCGTTACAGTTCTCAGTGGGTAACTTAACGAGTCACTGTTTCAAGTAATCTAACCCAACCCTGGAGATGACACACACACACAGACTCAACCATTCCATACAAATTCTGATTAAATCTATCTGCACTTATATTTGAGTTCTCCTTCACAAGGAACTTTTGATCTAGAACAAACAGCCAGCAGCTTTCTCTGTTGTTAACATCTCAGTCTTCATGTGTTTCCAGAGGTTGAACTTCCTTTAAAGAGCAAATTTATACGAGCTCAGTCAAATATAATCCATGTTTAATATCTTGTTTTAGAGAAGTGATGTCTTACCTGCGATGTGAGAGTGACCAGAGATGAAGACGGAGCTGTGAAATACTCGCTGTTCGGTTCACTGCCGTTTTAAATGAACCACCGAGCCACGGAGCGGTTTGTTTTCATGCTCCCCTGATTTAATCCCCACTTTACAATCCATGCAAAGACACAAACAAACTATTTATTTGCATGACGTCTGAGTGAGGCTGACTGCTCAGGGCAAAGTTTAAGTGTGCAAATTGCATTGATTGTCAATAAATGATTTCTAACTAGAGGACCCCTGATGGCTAAATTGTCAGGGACCAAGCCTGAAACATCAATTTTCACCTTGGCATGTATTTACAGAGTTTCAAACCCCTTATCTGGTTAGAAACAATCTCTGGAGGTTTCAGGGACCAACCACGTCCCTGATGGCTGCTGATTCAGGTGATGTGCCTAATCCCCCTGGATGTGAGGTCTGCCTGAAGTGACTGAACACCTATTTGACTGTCAAAGTGATCATCTGTGATTATTTGTTATCCCCTCACCCTTCTGTTTTAGGCATCCCCCAGAGCTCAATATTGAGTCTCCTCTTATTAAACATTCTCCCTCTGTATGAAATCAAAGGAAACCTAAAACATTAATTTCAATATCAAGTTATTTTTGGGTCCGTTTTTGCCCAACGCGACAGAAAATGTTTTGAGGAGAGAAAGTGAGGAATGACATGAAGCATAAGGACCGAGGATTGAAATCCATGGCTGCTGCAATGCAGACTATAACCTCTGTACACTGAGCTAAATCTTATTAAATTTGACTTTAATACAATGCAGATGACATCCAACGTTACCTTCTGATCAAAACTGATAATAAGACAAGCCAAAAAACATGACATTAATTGGTTTAACTTCTAAGACATTATTCCTCGGGTGTCTGTTAGCTTCCTCCAGCTGTATGACTCTTTGGTCTGCAGGCTTCAAATTTAAAACCCACTGACAGAAATCTGTGTGTAATATTTCAGACATCTATGCTACAATGTGTAGTCTTATTCGATTCGTATCAAGAACAAAATCTCTTCCCCGGATATTTTGCATCATTTAGAAAAGGTTGTTTCTCTGTGAATCATATAATGTCTTGTTGTTTTGTTACTCCTGTGTCTTCAGAATCAAATCATTTGAATAACATAAGTTCCTGTCTGGTCCTTTATGTCCAAACATGATGCCAAAGACCATCAGGCAACACTGAGTCATAGATTTTAACAGGTAAGAGATGACTAAGGAGTGCCCCAGCTGAGGAGAATAATGTCTTTTCCAGCATGGAGACCGCCATTGACGGGACTCCAAAAGCCCCCTGCAGGAACAGACGGGTCACATCACTCAGGCGTCCTTCATTCATATTTACAGTCTGTGGTCCAAACGCAACTTAAAATGACAAATGATGAAAAACGTGTCCGACAACACTACAAATCATGGATGATTCACAAGTGTTCTGCAGAGGTAAACACTAAATTTGCTGCCATATTCTGAAAAGTAAAGGCTGTTTGCAAATGAAGGTTTTGCAAATCATCCAAATCAGAGGAAACCTTTACATATGCAAATGATCTGAAGAAGCTGAAGGCAAGGAAACAGTGATACTCTGACGTTCAATCTCTACAAATCCAACTCAACTTAAAGTGACTCATCAAGCATGATGTTTGTTAGAGGGTAGACCAAAAGCGGAGCAAAGTGGAGAGAACCGGAAGTGAAGATCCAGAATCCAGGACGGGTTTATAGAATGAGAATCATAATGACAACCATTAAAGAAGAAGCAATAATGAATGTGAATGATTGCTACAGGTTTTTGAAAGTTCCTGATGCACAACTACAGATTAAAAAGGCTCTTGGCATGGATTCTGCTTTGTCTGGAATGTCACTGAAGTCATTGTCCTCACAAAGTAGACAGGAGGAAATTTACAGATTTAGGATTGTTATGTAAATGTTGCGTACCAGCTCACAGAGGGATAAAAAGCAATGAAATGGCTGATTCGTTAGTAAAACAGGAGGATGTAATGGACTTCTCATTCAGTAAAAGTGAAGCTAAAAGATTAATTATGTCATTTTAAGTTCTTTATATTTTCATTTTTTTTTTATTTAATCATGGTGTAGTAACTCTCTTCTACACTCAAACATAGCAGATGGCGGTAATGCACCTTAACGCTGGTTACCTCCCGCCATTAAAAACATGAGGAAGAAGTTCCTGCGTCATACCAGTTGGTGGCGGTAATGCGCCGAAACGTTGTTTACCAGACGCAAAAGAAACCACGAAGAAGAAAGAAGGCGGAACAAGCGGCCTCACGGAGGGAACAAAGAACGGCTCCGTGAGTGGGATTATGATGTTTAAAACTTAATTATTTAAAAACAAGGCATTTTTTTATACCGTTTATAACTTCGGTGTATAAACAAGTAAATGTTTATTGGTTTACAATTGTAGCTGGTAACGGAAGTTAATTACCTCGGCAGCGCGAGCTCGTATTGTCCGTTACCGTTAGCTTAGCTTACTTAGCATGTTTAATTCAAACGCTTAACCGGTAATATTTAACTTCACATCAGTGAAGTGGCTCGTGTTATTGTATAAACGTGTGTTTAACTGTTTGCAGAGCCGCGTTGATTCTTAATCTACTGAATAAAACAAACATTTTAACCTTTTAAAACAGAAAATGTTCCTTCTATGTGTTAGCGTTCCGGCTAGCTAGAAGGCCAAACAGAAGGCCATTGTTGTCATACTCAGGTGTGTCGGTTACCTTCATATTCTACTGAACGAAACAAACAGCTGTTATTGTGGTTTCTCATGGTGTGTTTCTTGATGTTATTCAGGCTCACTAATATGGAAACGGTCTGCTCTGGTTAGTCCAGCCTCAAGCCACGATGTCGAGTGAGTAAACAACCTGTTTGTTAGCTGAACTGACTTCATGTGTGTGGTTTCTTTCGACCATCAGTGACCATTATTACACACCTTTACTCTTACTTCTTCCCTTCATTGCTCTTAACCCTGATCCGTGATTTGGGCCTGTGATAGATAAGGGACAGTAACAAAAACCCAGACTGTGTCCCTGTACGTCCACCCTCAGCCACTGTCTCACAATTAGATCCAGAATCAAATACAAAATGCTCCTCACTGGCCTGCTCTCTATGCCCCACACCTGACTCTGTACCTATAGAAACAGGGACTTTAGCTGCTTCCCCTTCCCTCAGACATTTGCAAAGCCCCATCTTTGGTCTCATTCAGAAAACTCCTTAAACACTGTCTGTCCTCCACAGCCTTCCCGCCACCCCTACCTCTGCCCCCCCCCCATCGCTCTCCCATCATTGCTACCTGTCTCAGTTTTGTTTTGTTCTTTGTCTGCACCCTCCGCCATGTAAAGTAACCTTGGATTCCTTGAAATCAAACAAATTATGATCTCTATAGAGCTCTTACCAGCTGTGTTTACATGTGCAAAGTGTCTTGAATCTGATTGGGGATTCAAACTTCACTTTTCACATGGTTGCTTAATAAAGTGATCAGATTGAGAATGGCTTGTACGTGAATCAAACATTAAGAAACAGCTGAGGAAAAAAGAAGAGTTGTTCCTTCCTGTGAACGACGATTAAAATGTGCTTTAAACACAAGGGGGTCGGAGTTACAACTATTTTGTGAAATGTTTATAGACTGATAAAAGCTGAAACTATAAACTACTTTAAAGAATGACCCTGATTTGAATGAGGAACCTCGACTGAGAATAGAATTCAATGTTTAAAGTGTTTCAACAATAAAATAAAAGATGATTCTTGTAAAACATAAGCAGCAGGTTGTTGTAATGACTAACATTTATTTTTCTCTTCTCTTGAACAGAACGACCATCCTATGCCCCTCCCCCTCCCCCCGCCCCGACAACAGTAAGTGTCAACACTCACATGCACTCAGCGGTTATTGTTTAGTGTTAGCGCCGCACACTTTGGTTCTTTATCTTCCTCTCCTGCTCCCTGCTCCTCTACGTCTTTATTTATCTGATCTCTCTGTCTCTCTCTCTCTCTCTCTCTGAACACGGAGGTTACTACAGACGTGTTCAGCTCTTTATCATCCTTCTCACTCCTGCCTCCCTCCTGTCATACCACTGCATGTCTTCTAATATAAATCTTTAAGGAGTGAAGCCAATGTGTGAAGTTACAGAATCAATACGCTTGTTTTGGTGCTTATTGTTTCTCTACATTGAGTGTCGGAGCACAGCAGCGTATAAACAGAGTCGATAAGAGACTCGCGTGTTGTGCACTCACTCTGAATGACGGCCTGCAGGACAGTTGCCTTTTTTTCTTTGCCTTGCATGATGCCTTCATGGAAAAAAACAAACAAGCAAACCAGTATACATATATTTTCATGTTTTCCCCGCTTGTCACTTATTTCTGTTGATCCCTCTTCCTCCTCTTGTTTGTGAGCCATTTCTCATCCGTGTTTTGTCTCATTTGTCTTCCATCAGCAAATGCCTTCCACCCCAGGGTTTGTGGGCTACAACCCTTACAGCCATCTGGCCTACAACAACCTCCGGCTGGGAGGGAGCTCCGGAGGCTCCAGCAGGGTAATGAACTGATGGAGGGATTTGGAAACATGAAACGAAAAACAGAACAGGGGTGTGGGTGCAGGGATAACAGGAAGGATGTGTTGAGGTTATTCAAAGGGACACAACATAGAAAAAGGAGGGGCTCAGAAAATGATGCTGCGTGGAACAGAAGTCAAATTAAACAGTGATTCTGTTTTATTTTCTAATCCTGGCCCTGATTGTAAATATTCTCAGGTCCCTTAAATATGTTTTATTCGGCACTAACTGGCTGACTTTGTTTACTATAGAGCAACATCACAGAAAGAATCCTTACAGGAAAAAGTCTCTTCACACACAGTTTCATTTTTCCCTGATTTTAAACTTACATGAGTGTCTTTTAGAGATTTATATTTGGGCTGTTTGTGCCTTCAATGTAGAGATGTGAGTAGAGTCAGAAATCAGGAAGAGAGAGAGATTGTGGGGATTGAGCTTTTAAAGGAAAGCTGTGTACACAGAAAACGTGAAAAAAATGACCCAACCGCCCCAAAAACAAAGTTAACATGTACAGTTAATGTTTGATATTTTCATGGGAAGTACAGA